CAACTGTCAAATATCCCTATTTGCATGCCGAATATCCTATACCCTTAAAGACCGAAAAAAACTCTACTCAGAAGCTTCCCTTAAGACATCATCAATAGCTATAGCAAGGTAGCAGGATATAAATCAACATAGAAAAATCATTAAGCATTTCTATACACTAACAATGAGCAACGAAAAAGAATGTATGAAACAATTCCATTTACAATAGCTCAAAAAAAAATCAAATACCTAGGTGTAAACCTAACAAAAGATGTGAAAGACCTCTACAAGGAAAACTATACACTTCTGAAGAAAGAGATTGAGGAAGGACTATAGAAAGTGGAGAGATCTCCCTGCTCATGGGATTGGTAGAATCAACATAGTAAAAAATGTCGATACTCCCAAAAGTAATCTACATGTTTAATGCAATTCCATCAAAATTCCATGACATTCATTAAAGAGATTGAAAAATCTACTGTGAAATTTATATGGAACACAAGAGGCCACGAATAGCCAAGGCAATACAGTCAAAAGAACAATGCTGGAGGTACACAATACCTGACTTCAAACTATATTACAAAGCAATAAAATAAAAACAGCATGGTACTGGCACAAAAACAGACATGAAGACCAGTGGAACAGAATAGAGGACCAGATATGAAGCCACACAACTATAACCAACTTGTCTTTGACAAAGGAGCTAAAAATATACGATGGAGAAATAGCAGCCTCTTCAACAAAAACTGCTGGGAAAACTGGTTAGCAGTCTGCAAAAAACTGAAACTAGATCCATGTATATCACCCTATACCAATTAACTCAAAATGGATCAAGGATCTTAATATCAGACCAAAACTCTAAAGTTGATACAGGAAAGAGTAGGAAATACTCTGGAGTTAGTAGGTATAGGTAAGAACTTTCTCAATGAACCCCAGCAGCACAGCAACTAAGAGATAGCATAGATAAATGGGACCATAAAACTAAAAAGCTTCTGTTCATCAAAAGAAATGGTCTCTAAACTGAAGAGAAACCCACAGAGTGGGAGAAAATATTTGCCAGCTACACATCAGACAAAGGACTGATAACCAGAATATATAGGGAACTTAAAAAACTAAATTCTCCCAAAACTAATGAACCAATAAAGAAATGGGCAAGTGAACTAAACAGAACTTTCTCAAAAGAAGAAATTCAAATGGCCAAAAAACACATGAAAAAATGCTCACCATCTCTAGCAATAAAGGAAATGCAAATTAAAACCACACTAAGATTCCACCTCACCCTGTTAGAATAGCCATCATCAGCAACACCACCAACAGGTGTTGGCGAGGATGCGGGGAAAAAGGAACCCTCTTACACTGTTGGTGGGAATGTAACTAGTACAACCACTCTGGAAAAAAATTTGGAGGCTACTTAAAAAGCTAACATTGATCTACCATTTGATCCAGCAATACCACTCTTGGGGATATACCCAAAAGACTGTGACACAGGTTACTCCAGAGGCACCTGCACACCCATGTTTATTGCAGCACTATTCACAATAGCCAAGTTATGGAAACAGCAGCAAGATGCCCCAACACTGACCGAATGGATTAAAAAATGTGGTATCTATACCACAATGGAATTTTATGCAGCCATGAAGAAGAACGAAATGTTATCATTCACTGGTAAATGGATGGAATTGGAGAACACCATTCTAGTGAGGTTAGCCTGGCCCAAAAGACCAAAAATCGTATGTTCTCCCTCATATGTGGACATTAGATCAAGGGCAAACACAACAATGGGATTGGACTTTGAGCACATGATAAAAGGGAGAGCACACAAGGGAGGGGTGAGGATAGGTAAGACACCTAAAAAATTAGCTAGCGTTTGTTGCCCTTAATGCAGAGAAACTAAAGCAGATACCTTAAAAGAAACTGAGGCCGATAGGAGAAGGGGACCAGGAACTAGAGAAAAGGTTAGATCAAAAAGAATTAACCTAGAAGGTAACACCCACGCACAGGAAATCAATGTGAGTCAATGCCCTGTATACTATCCTTATCTCAACCAGCAAAAACCCTTGTTCCTTCCTATTATTGCTTATACTCTCTCTACAACAAAATTAGAAATAAGGGCAAAATAGTTTCTGCTGGGTTTTGAGGGGTGGGGGAGAGGAGGCGCGAGTGGGTGGTAAGGGAGGGGGTGGGGGCAGGGGGGAGAAATGACCCAAGCCTTGTATGCACATATGAATAAAAAAAAAAAAAACACATAATCCTCCTGATCTCTGCTGCCTGAGTAGCTGAGATTACAGGTGAGGAGCCACTGTCGCCAGGCTTACAGCAGGGTTTCTAACATTTGGGGACAGATAACTCTGTTGTTGGAGCTGTCCTGTACATTGCAGGGGGTTGAGCAGTGTCCTGGGTCTGTACCCACCAGATGCTAGCACAGCCATCCAACTTGTGACAACCGTAAATATCTTAAAGCATTGCCAGATGTCTCCTGGGTGGGGATGGAATTGTCCCTGGTTGAGATCCACTGCCCTACAGCCATGGCATACATGGGGGACTCTGCACAATTCCTGCTCAGCAAAGTTTGCTTTCTTTGGAGGCGGGTTCAGAACAAAAAGCTCCTTTTTGGCCTCTAGGCCATCTAGGAAGCAAAGAAAGTAGAGTAAATTTATTCTGCCTGGAATTCAGTGTGTGTTCTGATTCATTCATTTGTCCCTAAAATATTTTCCTGGCTGGTTTATTCCCCTCAAAGTAGAGCCAGTGTAGAATCTCAGATTGCATTTGGTTTCTGTTAGTCTCTGTTGACAAACTATGCCCCATTGGCCAAATATGGCTCAGCACCTATGTTTCAAAATAGGTTTTTCTGGAACTCAACATGCTCTTTCACCTATGCAATATGTCTTGGTTGTTTGCCCTCTGCAATGGTAGAGCTATGTAACTGTGACAGACACTGTATACCCCAAAGCCTAAAATATTTGCAGCCTGACCCTTTACAGGCAGTGTGCTGACCCTGTGACCTAGAATCCTGTTCCCTATCTTATTTTTGGATTTTTTCCCCCCACTGGTTTTCTTTTTCTTTCTTTTTTTTTTTGTGGTTTTGGGACTTGAACTCAGGACTTCACCTTGAGCCACTCTACCAGCCTTTTTTTCGTGAAGGTTTTTTTTGAGATAGGGTCTCTCGAACCATTTGCCCAGGGTTGGCTTCGAACTGCAATCCTCTTGATCTCTGCCTCCAGAGTAGCTAGGATTACAGGCATGAGCCACCAGCATCTGACTGCACTGGTTTTCATTATGACATTTTTATACACGCGTACAATGTACTTCATTACCCTCTTAACTCTCTTCCCATCATTATTTTATTGGGACAATTTTTTTTGGTGGTGGTGGTACTGGGGTTTGAATTCAGTGCCTTGTACTTGCTAGGCAGGCAGGTACTCTATTATTTGAGCCACACCAGCAGCCCTGTTTTGTGTTGGGTATTTTTGAGATAGGGTCCTGAGAACTGTTTACCCAGGTTGGCTTCATACTGTGATCTTCCTGATCTCTGCCTCCTGAGCTAGGTGTGAGCCACCAGCGCCTGGTTCCCATCTTTATTTTAAATGTGATCTTGATTGTTCAGAGTTCAAGAAAATTACTTATAAAAATCCCAGTTAATTTTTGCAGTGCTAGGAATGGAACTCAAGGATCTCATATATGCTAGGCAAGAGCTCTACCACTCAGTTACAAACCCAAACCTAATCTCTTATTTTATATTGGCTTGATTATACACATTTATGTTAAACTTTTAACAAAAATTTCACATACTGTATACATACTTTTTTTCTTTTGGTGGTGTTGGGGTGTGAACTCAGGGCCTCATGCTTGCTAGGCAGGTGCACTTTGCACTTGAGCCACTCCATCAGCCCTTTTTTGAGTTGAGTATTTTCAAGATAGGGTCTCTAGAACTATTTGCTCAGGCTGGCTTCGAACCAAGATTCTCCTGTTCTCTGCCTCCTGAATAGATAGGATTAAAGGCATGAATCAAAGCCCAGCATACATGTTTTAAAATACAAAATACTTATGGGATTATCAATGCTCTTTGGGGTAGTATTACAGAAATTTTACTTGTCAAATCTATAAATGAAAATGAAAAGCAAACAACACGTGAAAAATAACAATACCAAGGTCTTGTCTCTTCTCACAATTTATTTTTCAGGAAGGAGCAGAGAAAGAATGTCATGTCTAACACATGGCAGATGACTGTTAGTTACAAAAGGAGATAAAATTCTCAGCGATCACATTTCCATATGATTTAAACAGCGAAACTGCTAGGGAAATCAGAGGCTTCCTTAAGAAAACCATAACATATGATTCCAAATATATGCACTAAAGTGTGCAGAAATTCAGATATATACACAAGAGTGTCAACTCTCTGAGTGCAGGGCCATGTCCCCAGCACCATAGCTGGCATACAGAAAGCACTAAATAAACGTATGTGGGATAAACAAATGAATGAATATGAATACCATTCCTTCCCTAAGCAGGGCAGAGCAGGTTGTCATCAAAACATAGTATGCACACCTATTTACTAGATTGGTATTGCTTCTGAATTTAACAGGTGTGCACATCATATGACTAGCAGGCTTGTGTCTGTTACTGTTCTGTCAGGAGCTTGTGCATGTTCAAGAAATGGAATTCAGTTATCATAGAGACTGATTTTCAGGCTAGGACCACATTTGTTTTATGTATATGGTTACACAGAAACAAGTAAGTGTCCAGTCTCCCCTTCCAGCTAACTTGCATCAGACTGTAATGAAAGCAGCTTCTCCCCCACCTCTTGGGACATGGTGTGTCTACCCTACTGATCGCCTAAGACAGTCTACATGAATCACAACAAATAGTGAAAAGAAACACTGCTATGCTGTTTTATCACTTCTCTCAAATGTCACTTAGCTAACCTCCCTAAATCATGATATAGATGTTACAAGTAATCTCTAGGAAAACAGCTAATGGTCATTCTTTCCTGCACAGCTCACACAGATGGCACTGAAGAGTGGGCTGTGGTCAGAAACAAGGTAGAGGGGGAAGGGGGTGAGGGGGGCAGGGTGGAGAAATGACCCAAACAATGTATGCACATAATAAAGAAAAAAGAAAAAAAAAGAAACAAGGCAAAAGGGTTAAAGAATTCCTGGTTGGTCCTTGAGCAATGGATCCTTCTCCTGGTTTCCTGGGAGGAACACAGCCTTGGTGTGGTTGAGAAAGGCACTCAGGCCTTTGCGTTTGTCCTCGGTCCCAGTTCTGTTTTCTATTGGTTTATAGTCCTTGTGTTTTCTGAAAATAAGATGTTGGACAGTGATTAAAATTTATTTCGACTGAAGTGAATTACTTTCTATTATTTTTTAGTGAAAGAACAGCTTCAATAAATTATACTTTTTTAAAAAATTATACTTTCTACAACCTTTTTCATGCCAGGTACAAAACAGCTAATTCCATGTAATGTAATCTATGGCTTGTAACACACTGGCATCTTATGAAAATATGACTATTTTCTCTTCATGTAAGAAATGTGCACAATCAGTACGATTTGTTAAACGTTATGTAGACACAGTTTTGTAAAGTTACTGACATCTGGTAGCACTTTTAGGGTTAAAAAAACGGCAAAATTATCAGGTCCTGGTTTGCTATTCATAATTCAATGGAAGATTGTTTTCTAATTTACAGAACACTTAAAAGAAGAAAAAGGAAGATACACATTTGTGCAGAAATATGTTTTACTTCTGACAATAGACACAGAGATTTTAAGTGTTAGAAGCAGAAACTTACTTGTACACCAAGGCAGCAATCACAGTGACAAGTATGGTCAAGCAGCCAATGGCGGCGATGACAATCAGGGCACCATTTGTCATTCCTAAAGGGGAGGCTGGGTCTTAAAACAGAATTGAGACCAGATTAGTTACCTCCTCTACTTGGAGGACATCTGTTTGCAATGCCATTAAATAAATGAGGAAGGGAGTGATCACAGAAGTTTGCCTCCCTCTGGGCTTTCAGTAATCTTTTCCAGTAAATAATACATAGTCTTTGGGTCAGCTTAGCTTCCATTTAGAGAATGAGTTAGCATGTCTGGAACATTGTGTTAGGGGTTCAGGGAGAAACGTCACGACCTGGAGACACCTGCTCAGGTCTCCATTGAGCCTGCAGCACCCAGGTACTGAGGGCTCCTGGGATCCTCTGTGCCTCTGGCCTCACCTGGATCTACCTACCTTCCTGCTGTGCTAAAAATCCTGAATGTTGCCTGTCCTACCCACTCTCTGTCAAACTTCTATGTCTTCTGCCCCAATACACTTCCCCTGGCTCATTTCAAGTCTCCTCATTCCATAGCCTTCCAGGCATTCCTGAGGGCAGTAGGCCCACCCACTGTCACCACTCTGTCTGTCTTCCTGGGCCTGGCTTGGGCTTTGTTGTCATCAATTCCATGTATTTCTTTACTACTAGACTGTGAGCCACAAGGCAGGGATTCTGTCTTCTCAGCAATGCAACCACTGTTTTTAACCCAAAGGATAACAGGTTTACTTTTCCTCAGTGTCTCCTGCCACTGGGGCAGTCCTGGACACCAGCCCTGGCCCAAGAGGCCCTCTTAGTTGTTTACCTGTGTCCTCTCCCCACTCCTCACACTAGCCATCTTCTAGCCAATCACAGCATGCTTCTAAACTGCCAGTGCCGCCACCTTGATGGGAGAATAAATCCCAGACCCTAATGGTGGCCTCCGAGGATCAAAATGGGCTGCTCATTCTTGTAATTTAGGCCTCAACTCAGAGGAGGCCCTTCACCAATAAAGTGTCATCTGGCTTTTCCTGGGCTACCAATCTAGAGAACTGACTTCTATCCTCACCTCCCTCCTCCATGCTCAGCACTCCATCCCCTGACCTGGTTTTATTTTCCTCATAATAGCACCTTGTTTTTTTATTTATTGCCTGTGTTACATTAACTAAGCAGGGGACTGTTGACCCAAGCTTGCTTAAGTATTTCAGGTTCCTACCTAACAAACCTGCAAGCTTAGATGTCAAGCACACTGAAACCTAATTTAGTAGAATATTTCACAACAAACAGCTGATTTCTAATCACCAAAACCCACTAATCGACTCTATGCCCAAATAAGGCAGCAGAAGTGGGTCAGGAGATTTCCTTCCTTGCAGGGTTTCTCCTCAGCTGTTTAAAGTTTGCTGCTCTATGGTGGAGTGCTGTGAACCTCTTTTGGCTCTTGTTGCTCAATCCAGTACTTAATTAAACTGGTTAATCTCATATGTCTAACTTTTTTCTTTTAACACTTGTCACTGCTTACAAAAGCAGGGACCATCTCTATTTAGAATTGTGTCTCGTGCATACAGTAGTGCTGGCCATGGCGCAGATGCTCAATGACTGTTTGATGAAAGTGAATAGATAAATAATGGATTTCCTTTTTATTTTTTTGGTGGTACTGAGGTTGAACTCAGGGCCTCATGTTTGCTAGGCAGGTGCTCTACCACTTGAGCTACTCTGCTAACCCCAGATTTACTTTTTTAACTCTGATCTATTTCGGAAATTCTGGCTTTGAAACTCAAGTTACCAAATTACAGTACCCGCTTGATTTTTCCTTCTAAGCTCTTTTCCTTTTTCCTTTTTTTTTAAATTAAATTGATTTTCCTGTGCTAGGGATCAAACCCAAGGCCTCATGCATGACAAGTGAGTGCTGTGCGACCAAGCTTCACCTTCAGTTCCCTTTATTTGGATTTTGAAAATGGCTTTAGGTCACACTGAGACTAGAAGTTAGGAGATAAAAACAATGTATAAATGAGTCTTCAGCAATCCCAGAATCTATGGCCAAGTGTCCCTAGAACTAGTTAATGTTGTATTAGTGTATCCTTACGAATTTACATCACTAGAAATAGGATAATAAGTAATGGAATTTGATAGGGCAGATGTTCAGTTAAGAAAACTGTACTGTACTTTTTGTTTTCTTCCCTAAAATCAGTTTGTGTTTGATGCCATTATTCAGAAGATATTTCAGAGTGTGGGTTACTATTTTGAAATTATTTTATTAAAGCATTTAAATATTTCCAAATGTTTAATATATTAAAAATGTTCATTATTCATAATTCTTAAATTCTTACTTGCTTTCTATAATTTTGTAATGACAAGAGTTCTCATCCATTAAAATCTTTCTTTGGAAAGAGCTAAGTTATGGTTTAAAGATATTCATAAAAATGTATATTCTGTTTATGTTGTACTTTTGCTTGTGTGAAAGATGTTGCTATTCTTTGAGAAATCAAAATGTTTGCCTTTAGTAGAGTATAAATGTATTAATGAAATCTACACTTCTAATAATAAAAGCATATACTTTGAAAAAAAAAAACTGGTCAGGCAGAACAGGGACAGGGGAACTCGATGGAAACTCACCAAGGACATAGAGATGAGATAAACAGGTATTTGGAGTCTGGGGAACTTAAAACGCGCTTGCCCAAGCCTTGAAACTACTGAGGCATATGAATGGTACATGAGCCACGCCCTGATAGAATGCCCGGCCAGTACGCCGGACCTCAGGGCCATCAGGAAAGGAAAGGAGGGTGTACACAGTGCCCTGTGATGCCTATGGGCTGGCACAGATAATGGACCAATAGCATGTAAACACAGCCAGCTATACTTCAACCAGGAAATAAGAATCTCTATAAAACCCCTAAACAAAGGAACCTCAGATGGTTCAGTCTTTCTGAGACACTCCTGTATGGGTGTTTCTGTTCTCCTTTCTGTTTAAATAAAACTCAACTTTTTCTCTCTACTTTAACAAAACTCTGCTCTCTTGCTCATCCTGTTGTCTATGACTTTGATTCTTTGATTGTACGAGACAGAGTTCCGGATAACCAGTACAGCACACCTGAGACCAGACCACTGCAACAACATCCAATGTGATCTCCGACTCCAAGAAAAATTAAAGGAAGGCTAAACATGTAATTCACACAGGCAATCAGCAGTTTGCCAGCACTGAGGAAGTGTAGGAGAATGAGTTTGATTCTATAGTAATTCTGAAACTCTGGGAGCTGGGCTGCCCTGGAGCAAGAACCTCAGCAGCTACTGGAGGTGATGGCATTGAAAAATCCGTGGCCACTGGATGCACAGGGTCTGGGTGCCTTGTTCTGTCCCTCCCCAGCTCTCTAGGTGGGTTCCAATCAACCTGACCCTACAGGAAGCAGTATATCCTTGCTTTTGTCCTTAAATCTGTACCTTGGATCTTGCCAAGAATAGCCTCATAACAATAACTACACTTGTGTGCTACACAATGACATTTCCATCAATGATAGACTGCATATACAATGGACCACAAGATTATAATGGAGCTGAAAAATTCCTAACACCTAGTGACATCAGAGCCATCACAGAGTCATAGTGCAATGCATTGCTCTTGTCTGTGGTGATGCTGGTGTAAGCAGACCTGTCCCCCTGTCTTTTGTGTAAGAGTAGCACATTCAATTATGTACAGCACATAGTGCTTGATAATAATGACAATGACAATGTTACTGGCTCGTGGATTTACTACACTATAGTTTTTAGAGTGTACTCCTACTTATAAAACAAACATTTAGAACAGTATGCTGCATTATGCAGGCAACAGCCTCTTGGAGTTTGTGCTTACTGCACCTCTTGACTGCATCAGGCCACATGGAGCCCACAGTGGCCTATAATCCCAGCACTTGAGAGGCCAACATGGGAGGACAGAGAGTTTGAGGCCAGAAACCAGAAAAAAAAACAACAACCCAAAAAGCAGGTCACATGGAGTGACAGCCCCGTACCACCCAGGTTTGTGTATGTACACTCTAGGATGTTCCCACAATGGTAAAGTTGCCTAACCACAAATTTCTCAGAATGTGCCCTGTCGCCTATGGGTTGCTCAGATTTGTCTTTCAAGGGGGCTAAAGCTGCCTTTTCTATGATTGATGTAAGTACACATATCTTGTAAAAGCAACTCCAAGTTCAAAGGAGCTGTAAGCGAATTAGTCATTAGACTGCTTCTGACAATACTCAAATGAAGGAGCAAAGCTAGTGCAATGTGAACACAGTTTAATCTTTCCCTTCCATTGCACCAAGTAGCCCTTCCTCAGACATGAGGAAGTCTTACAACATTGGTCATAACCAATGTTGTAAGATTTGGTTAGGGCCACAGGGTAAAGCCCTAATTTGGGACTTGGGGAGAATTAGATGCCACTACTATAAGGCAAATTTCTAAATGAAATTCCTTTGTCTACTTTGTTAACATTTTACCTCTCCGAGCATTAGAAAGGAAGCGTGATGTTTCTGGTGAGCATCTGAAGAGTAGATAGTTGGTTTGTTACTGTCTCAGTGTAATGCGTGGCAGGAAAAGAGAGGACACACAGTCAGAAGGGAGTGGGAATCCACTGGGTTTCTCCTATCTCCTGGCTGCATGTCTTTGCCCAGGTGGACTCTCATGAAACCCTGGTGGCCGCCTCTTCTTTGTTAGCGTGTCACTGGAGAACATTGCTAGTTTTTGATGTTGGGCTTTGCATTTTCCCCTCGAAATACAAATCTCTTCAAGCATGCAGCGATCATATCCCATTATTACTGGTCCATGATCACAGCTGATTTTTTTTTAATCAACAGGCTTTCCCTGGCCACTATTTGACTGAGTTTCTCTCTCATTACTGCCCTAAGTAGATTTGTGGTTGCAGTTTAATGCCAGTTTTTAAATCCTTATTAACAAGAGTTCAACAAGAGGCTGGGATGAAGCTCAGCAGTAAAGTGCTTGTATGCACAAAGCACCAGGTTCAATCCCCCGCAAGAAGAAAGAGTTCAATGAATTTTGCACTGAAGTAAAATTAAACATTGTTGGCAAAGCCCTCAATGGCTTTAATATTGAGGACACATTCACCTGCAACATGAAATGCTCATGGAACCATAAAACAAATCTCACCTTTGCCAGGGATGGAAATCAGGGTGCTCGTGAGGGCCAGACTTGCGTCATCTCTCAGGGTGAAGTTCACACAGTATGTGCCAGACCCATAGAAGGCTCTTCTCACGGTCAAAAGGCACGTCTCATCCACATCGACAGGGCTGCAGACCAGGTTCTGAGTGATCTGGCAGGTGGGGTCAGAAATGATGGTGCAGACCTCTGTGGGGATGCTGTGAGGTGGAAGAGGTGGGCAAAGACACACAGATCACGGGGATGGGGTGTGGAAGGAGAGGGATATAATGTCAACTTTAACATTCCCATAAAATTAACTTCACCTCATTCTTATTCAGGTCATATCAGGTTGAATTATTACTTGTGATTTACTCTTAATAAGCTCAGGGATGAGCTACTGTTTCCTCTACATCCCTAGGAGGGTGAGGTCCAGAGGATGGAGGCAAGGAGCTGGTAGAAACCATGTGAAGCCCAAGCCATTCCCTTGGCACTCTGGTCCCCCAAAGGCCTGAAGATGCAGATGGCTTAGGTATTGGACAAAAGTGATACTAGGGGACAGAGGAAGCCCTGCCTGGGTTCCCGTAGTGGTGTGGCAACAGCAGCAACACAGCTGTTGACGCAGGATTTGCTATGTGCAAGACACTGAGTTTAGACACATAACATGCAAGACACTGAGTTTAGATACATGACACGATCTTATTTGTTTCTCTCCATGGCCTCATCAAGAAAGCAATATTATCCCAGTATAACAGGTGACAAAACAGCTCAGGGAGGGGAAATAACTAGGCCAAAGTCACACAAACAGCTTATTCTGGTCCTCCCCATAAGCTAGAGAGCTTCTTAGTTACTCCTTTCCACCAAATAAGGCCTCATTTTAGGCTATCCTGGTCTCTTGATTACTTTATATGTTTTTAAAAAACTTATTATTTTGAGACATGAACCCCGGGCTATCCTCAAACTCATGATCCTCCTGGCTACCTAGTGCTGAGATTATAGGTGTGTGCCACCATGCCTGGTCATACATATATCTCTATTACTTAAATTACACATGTAAATTAGTGGATTTGTTTCTATATTTAGTTAACAGATTGATATATTTGGCTATAATTTATATTTAGTTTACTGAATATAGTCATGACCAAATCATAGGATATTAGATTATATTAGGAAAAGTTTTGTGAATTATAGAGAAGATTATCAGACAGCAATTCCACATTGGTTTCCTGCCCACCAGGAGGAGCCTCCGGGGGCTGAAGAGCCAACTTGAGCCAGATCTTTGGCCTGTGCCAGCTGCCAGGTGTCAGCTGTCTGCTGTGACTCACTTGCCTTATCTTTGAAATGAGGAGATACAGGATTGTTGGAAAGATTCAATATGAAAGAAATGGGAGGTGCTAAGAGTATAATAAATGTTTCATTAGTTATCATAATTACTACTAGATTTAATCAAAGGTTAGCACTGATCAACTCTGACAAAGTAAGTGTATGCTTAATAGCACCTTCTAAGGCCCTTTGTCAGTCCTCCCTCATCTGGAGTATCCAATAAATAGGGATTTCAATCAACTTGGAAGGGATGATGTGTGTCTAAGGCCTTAGTTCAGATCTGGAGTGCTCACTTGACCCATGCCGTGACGGAGACATGTACTTACGTCCCTTCGCAGGTCACAAGGAAGTCCATCAGGGAGTTGTCAGGCTGTGGCACAGGCATCAGGACATTTGATATCTTGATGATGTGAATCTCTAGTATTCCCTCTAACAAAACAACCACCATGGAAAAACATCAAAATACAATGGAAACCAAACCAAACCACTCTGCCATAGACTGAATGTCTGTGCCCACTCAATTTCATATGTTGAAATCCTAACTGAGGTTATGGCATTAGGCAGTGAGGCTTTTGGAAGGTGATAAGATCAGTGCTCTTGTGGAGAGACCCCAGAGAACCATGCATGGCTCCTTTGTATCGCTTCTGCCATGTATGGACACAGTGAGATGGCCATCTAAGCAGACAGCCCTCGCCAGACGCTAAATCAGCCAGTACCTTGATCTTGACTTCCAGCTCCCAGAACTGTGGGAAATTAATTTCTGCTGTTTATAAGTCACCTATATTAGAATACCGCCTGGCATTCTATTATAGAAGGCTGAATGGACTAAGACACACTCTTTAATAAACTAGACGGGAAAAAATGGAGATAGCCTTCTTGTCAAGTGGAAACACACCAACTCTGAGAATTTATCCTTACAGCTTGGGATGCATATCAAGGCAACATTTGCGAAGTCATACTGCACTGTTCTTCTGTCCCACCTAGATTCTTAGTTCTAGAGCCTGGGTGTGTGTTAGAAAGCATCACTCACTCTAGGCAGATATTTTAGAAAAAGGTGACCCTGGCAGATGCAGGCCAGTGTGGTCAGCTACTCTCAGGCAAAGATGACTGACCCGGGGTGCATTGCTTAGGCTTCCACCTCTGTTCCCAGATCCAGGGTGCACATGCTGGGCTTTGGTCCCTACCTGTCTTTTCTGCTATCTTCTAACAGTGTGGGGGCCTATTCATTCCCCACCTTTTACACACAAGTTGAGGGACTTAGTGAAAATTAGCTAGGGGAAGACAGTAGAAGTTGTGGGAACTTCTTAGCTTTCTTTCACCAGCATTCATTCAGAATCCCATCTTAGCCTTCCATCTTAGCCTTCCTTCACCAGCATTCATTCAGAATCCCAGACACAAAGGTGGGAGCCAAGCTCAGGCAAGTTCATTAGCAGGCAGGCTTCACAGAGGGCTCATTCTTACTAAGACATCTAAGGACAGCTAGGCCAGTAGACAGAAATCTAGAAATGAGGAGTCTGCTTGTGCATGTTACTATCATCTTGGATAAGCAGTGGGGTGTCCTTGCTTACCACATCACCCTTCCAGTCTAAAAACTGACTGGTAGATTCTGGCATCCATCCCCACAGGTCTTCAGCCTTACCCACAATTGTGATGGTGGCTTCAAAGTAACCATATCTGTTAATCTGGCAATCTTCCTCAGAAATCCCACTCAGCTCCAGGGTGTTGTCACCAGCAGGTACTGGAGTGTTTGAATAATACAAGTTTAAAATAGTTGCTAAGAATATAACAAATATACATGAGGTAGTCAAAAGTCTAAATATTTGTCTATTTGTTCTTTAGAAAAACATCAAGAATTCTATGACTATTAAATTGATGCAGAAATTTAAACTAAATGTGTAAAGATTCATACAGATGTAAGGCATTAAAACTGTTCATTTGTGTAAGTAAATATTCCCCCCTTTGATTGTGGTGGGGATGTAACTGGGGTTTGTGTCCACGCCAGGCAAGTGCTCTACTTCTGAGCTACACCATCATCCCCAAACATAACCCCATATCTTGTTTAAACACAGGGAGCAAATGAAACATTAAAGCCATATTAAAATATGTGACATGACAATCATGATGAAATAAAGCAAGCCATGACTGATGAAGTCATATTTCAATTTTGGAGACAGGCGTTCTGGGTTCCAGTTCCAGCTTCCCTTGTTTTCACTGCTTGACACCATTGGTATATCATTTAACCTGTCTTTGCCTCTATTTGCTCATCTATAAAATAGGAATAATACTTTGAACCATCCCAGGGTTGAACCATGAAATTTAAATAAAGCACTACAACCTATTTCTTTTATGGCTGCCACATACGAGGTACTTAATAAATATAGTTACTTTGGTCCAGTAATTCAGGAAAAAGTAATTCTTTCTCTACTTGTGTGAACAGAGGTGTGAGCCTTCACAGTGTTGGGATCACAGGTGTGCACCACTACACATGGCTAGACTAGTGTCTTAATTTAGATATTTTTGATTTAACAAGATCTCCTTTTATTGCTAACACTTTAACAGTTTATTATTTACAGCTAATCTGTTGGTAAAAACAGCTACAAGAAATCCAGACATCATGATGTGTTACTTCTGGGCTCAACCATGGCGCCCTCTTGTGACCAGTAAGAGGATGTCAGCCTGGAGTGATCAGATATGCAAATGGTCCAGAAGGGAAGGGTGGTGATGGCATGGGGCGGGGTGGGGAATCACATGGAAGCCAGTGTTTCCCAAAGTGGACTCTTAATTAAGAACTTCTTGGGTCTGGTGGAGTGGCTCAACTGGTAGAGTGCCTGACTAGCAAGTGTGAGGCTCTGAGTTCAAAAACCCAATACTACACACACGCACAAAAGAACTTCTTGAGGGCCCTCACAGATTATCAGTAAAGGTGTTTGATTAATTATGCCTTATATCCAGAGCAATTTTAATGGCTGGAGTCACTCTGGCAAAATATTCTCAAGTGGCATTCTTTCTTGGGCCATTTGGAAGCTGCTTTCATGGAACACTATTTTTCATGGGACACTGGGTTGGAGTTGGCAGGAAGGGAAGAGAAGGGGTATAGGAAGAAACTGCGGGAAGGGACAGAAGGAAAGTGGAGAGGGCCTGTGTATCCTCTCATAGCTACAAAAAGTGGGAGAGAAACAGAAAGAGACAGGCTGCACAAGAGAAGGCATTGTATACATAGCAAGGGCCAGAGCAAAGAGCAAAGATCTTTGTACTAATTCTACTGCAAAGTGTCTTTAAAACACATTCTTCTTTCTTTCTTGTTCTAAAGGCTTAAAATATTAATAAAGTGGTTTAAAAAATCAATAGGTGTTAAGTGGACTCATTATAAAGTCTCTACACAATTCTTTTAAATGGACTCTTATGTACTTACCTTTTTTTGTGGTGCTGGGGCTAGAACCCAGAATCTTGCAAATGTTTAGGCAACTGAGCTACAACCCCAGCACTCTAATTAGATATTTAATAATATAACCTAGGCTTGGAAGTGTAGCTCAGTAGTAGAATGCTTGCTTAGCATGTGCAAGGCCCTGGATTTAATCCCCAGTACTGAAAAAAAATATATGCATGATTTTTTTTAGTCATTAAGAAATTTACTACAAAGATCACCCAGAAAATACTTACCTAAAGAAGGAGTGGGTCTTCCAGGGGTGGGTGAAGGTGGAGGACATGGGCCAGGCACTGCAGCTTGCACAGTGAGGTTCAAGTTAAAGGTACCATTTAGCACATATGTGTGGTTCAAAGTGTGATTGTTAGAAACAAACAGCCCAGTGTTGTCCCCAAAGTTCCACTTGTAGTAAATGGCAGACTCATTTAGGAAGTGGCTCGGGTCATGAATCAGCACATCAAACACAATGGGGAGGTCTTTGAGGAAGGTTTCATCAGATGAATTTCTGTCATTCTTCTGGAACATGGATACAAATACAGGAATCTCATCTAAAAGAGAAAGAGAGAGAGAGAGAGAGACAGGGAGGGAGGAAGAAAATGGTGCACAATTACTTGGTTTTAAGTGGAGGATTGTAATGATGCTCTTAGATTAAAAATTAAAATTAGGGATAACTAGGCAATCATGCTTTCCTTCTCACATGCTATAGTTTTCCCAAGATACTCTGGAAAGCAGGTGGGATACAACATAATTAAATATATACGCTGGTTCGGGCCTGGATGAGTGGTAACCTAACCCAGAGCAGTTGGTGCTCTTTCTTGACCTGCCAATGTCAACAGAACTAAGAGGCTGCTCCTGAGTTAACCCTGAGGTCACGCCACGCACCTGTTATCACATACACATCTTTAACTTGAGCGATGGGAATGTATGCTCGGCCGTGTCTTCTATAGACAGTCACTTCCATGACTTGGGGACCAAGTGTCAGGTTGGCTGTGTTTATAGAAACTCTTGCTGAGCACCGTCCCAATTTCTGGAAATACTGACCTTTAAGAGGATGGAAATGTTTAGTTATTGGCAACAATAACTGGTCATGGGAAGTTGTTTCTGGAGGACTATCTGGAGAGATTGCTCTGAGGAGGGAGACAGGCTAGGGATATAGTGCTGCTCCAGAGGGGGAGACAGCACCCATTTCTACATAAAGCCTTACAGAACAAAGGCACAATTGTACACATGTAATTGTATACAGTTAGTTAAAGCAAAAAGAGCTGTTTAGTAGTATAATACAATATGCTCTTACTTTACAACTAAATATATAAGTTAAAATGATTTGATACCAGAAATACATGCCTTTCCCACAGAAAATTCATTTAATGTAATAGTGAGGTGTCTGGAGGAGTTAAAAACTTATTCATCCAAAAGTCACCTTTATCTTTGCAGCAATATGACTACAGCTACATTATTAAGCAGATTTTAGGAGGGGAACTGGAATCCTCTACTTTCTAATAGTATTTGTACATAAAAGTACAGCATGGGAGGAGAGAGAAATAGGTTTTGGCAGAAACAGACACATCTTTGCATCATCCCTTTTCTTTCTCCAATCCCCTCTGAAACTGGCAGGATAAAGGACTTGCTGCTCTTCAGTGCTCAGAACTTTTTAAATCTGGGCCTGTCCTGAACTATTTGGGTACTGTAAAATGGATGCTTGTGAGACAGGAGAGTGTGACATTTCTCACATAGCTAAAGAAGTGAAGTGATCTCCTGAGGGATGTGTAACTTGGAATCTCCCTTCACCTTGTGATGCAGGAGCACTTCCTCTGGAGGTTGTGGGGAAGTGGGGTCTCTCAGGGGATTGCTTACATGTGAGGAAAATGTTAGTCCCCCACTGAGAGATGAGGGAGAATATTACTTAACTCTGAGACCTTAGTGGAACATGGGAATTCAAGGAAGTCTCACCAGAAAAACAGTAATTTCTAGATTGAAGGCTGACATTTGGATAGAATACCTGCCAAGCAAGCGTGAGGCCCTGGGTTCAACACCCAGTACTACAAAAAAAAAAAAAAAAAAAAGAGCTCTGCTCTGGTTAACAGAATGTTAACTTGACTAAAGAAAAGTGCTAATAAGTGACTCCATGCAAATGTCAGAACTGTGTTGTGGAAAGTACACGTCAAGGGAATCATGTTTGGTGAGTCAGTAGCAAGGCCCTGGCAGCATTGGGAAATAGCTTTAAAGCAATTGATTGAAATAGATGGACACAATATTTGATATGTGCTGTAGTTCATTCAGTACAGGTATGTATTACTAGTGTTTTGTTTTGGTGTTAAATATGCTTATTGAAGTAAAAAGAAAGACAAAATATTTAGAAGTCTGGAAGCTGTTCAGTTGGTAGCAGTTTTCAAATACTCAGCACCAGGTGGCACCGGGTGACATATGGGGTGTGTATGTATGGTGTTGGGGTTCAAACCCAGGGCCATGCCCAAGCTAGATATGTGTTCTACCTCAGAGCCATGCACTTAGCCCTCTGGTGACATTTTAAACCAAGAATTTAGCAGCCTTGCTAACAATAACCTAAGTTTGCTCCTTCTAAAATACCCACTTCACCAATAATAAAATAAAGTGAAAATACCATTTATGGTTTTGGTTTTTTTTTTTTTTTGCAAAAGAGAATAGATTATGTCAAAGAAGAATTGTAGTTAGATTATTTTAGTTCCACATAATAGGATATTGTACAGTCTTTAAAATAATGTACATAAGGAATTTTTAATGTATAGTCTAATGCTGAGAGTAAACAAAATATGTATATATTATGATCTTAAGAAATATTAGTATTGAAAACATGTGAATGGTGATCTCTCTGGTGTTATTTTTCTGCACTTTACAAATTTCCTGCAAAAGCATACATGCCTTTAATTCTCAAAAACTCATCTGAGAGCATAAAAAAATTAAAGAATGAACAAATGCCCATCCATGTGTCACTCAAATAAACATTTTTTCATATTTCTATTTTAGACCAAAAATACTGAGTAGTATTATTTTCAAAAAGGAGAGCTGAATCTATTTTCTTCTTTCTCTCATTTTAATTTGGTGCCTTGGAGATTTGGCATGGTTAGTCAGAATTTTTTTTTCCTTTCTCACTGTCCATCCAAAATAAGAATTAACACAGTAACTTGTTAAACTCTTGTTGTTATAATTTTCATTATAGGACAAGAAAAATTAAATTAAAATTTTAAAGATAGGAAAAGAGAGGCTAAGACATTTTATAAAAGTCCAACCAAGTGTGTGAAAGACGTAGACAAAATTCCATCTCTTCCATCCATGGTGGTGAGGGAAAGGCTTCCCATCGGGGAACACGTTGTGCTGGCTTTGGCCAGTGCCATTTCCCCAGTCACTGTCCTCTGACCAGGATGTCCAGTTATAAACATATGGGTCAGGAGACAAACCAGAATCTAAACAAAGAGAAAAAACAAGTCACAGCTGTTATCTGGGTTCCAAAGTCTCAATGTGCATCATTCAGTTACACATTTCTTCCTCTTTTTTTCATAACCAATTAAAAAGTTGTTACAGAGTTAAAACCTAATGTTCAGAATTCATCCAATAGCATACTTACATTCAATAGCATATACTTTTCTGCATATGCATTGTATTTCAATAAAAGTCTTATATAAGGGAATTTTTTTTCAATGAAAGTCCAACCTGGAGATTTTACTTAACTATCTATTGGGCCTCCAAATTTCAACTCTATTCAACCAAATGTCAGGGTGCTTGATCTTTTCATTTGATGCACTGTATTAGTAGCTTTTCTTCCTGATTCAGCCAAGAATGCCCTAAGAATTAGAGGATTCTCCCCTGTAACCACAACACCACACTACCACATGCCAGTCAAGGTCTGTGTCCTGCACATGGCCATGCTATACTGGCCAGTGGTCTCTTCAAATGATTCAGGAAAAAAAGAATCTCTCTCTCTCCATATATATGTATATATTATAGGTTTATATTAGATATAGAGATAGAAGCAAATATAGAAAAATGTTAAAACTACTCACTTTATGTGGAAGTATTCTGGCCCTGCTTTCAACTTTTCTGCCTATTTGATATTTGCCATTTTGAACAGGCCACAATCAATATCCTTCATCTGGAACAGGTCCTTCATCCTCTTTTATTTTTTCTACATCATTGATTTTTTTTGAGGAGCCTTTTAGTTTATCAATTAGTTTTTATTCCTTTTTATTTTTAAATTGTCTCAAATCTAGCCATTAGAAGTCCCTTTGAGGAACCCTCTTACACTGCTGGTGGGAATGTAAACTAGTACAACCATTCTGGAAAAAAATTTGGAGGCTATTTAAAAAGCTAAACATTGATCTACCATTTGATCCAGCAATACCACTCCTGGGGATATACCCAAAAAACTGTGACACAGGTTACTCCAGAGGCACCTGCACACCCATGTTTATTGCAGCACTATTTACAATAGCCAAGTTATAGAAACAGCCAAGATGCCCCACTACTAACGAATGAATTAAGAAAATGTGGTATCTATACACAATGGAATTTTATGCAGTCATGAAGAAGAACGAAATGTTATCATTCGCTGGTAGATGGATGGAATTGGAGAACATCATTCTGAGTGAGGTTAGCCTGGCCCGAAAGACCAAAAATCATATGTTCTCCCTCATATGTGGACATTAGATCAAGGGCAAATGCAACAGGGGATTGGACTTTGATCACAAGATAAAAGAGAGAGCACACAAGGGAGGTCTGAGGATAGGTAAGACACCTAAAAACTTAGCTAGCATTTGTTGCCCTCAATGCAGAGAAACTAAAGCAGATATCTTAAAAGCAACTGAGGCCAATAAGAGAAAGGGACCAGGAACTAGAGAAAAGGTTAGATCAAAAAGAATTAACATAGAAGGTAACACACATGCACAGAGGGAGGGGGCGGAGTGGGTGGTAAGGGAAGGGGTGGGGGCAGGGGGGAGAAATGACCCAAACATTGTATGCACATATGAATAATAAAAAAATAAATAAATAAAAAAAACTACTCCGAAGACAAAACAAAATGATAGATGCCCTAGAAGTAACCTGTGTTTTTAAAGCAAACTCCATTCTTACATGGAAGAACTATTTTGTACATTCTTATTTACTTACTCATTAATTAATTAATTTTTTGAGAAAGGGTCTCACTATGTAGCCCAGGCCGGCCTCAAATCAACGATCTTTCTGCCTCAGCATTTCATGTGCTGGGATTACAGGTGAGTGCCACCACACCCAGCTTAACATTCTTTAAATTATAAGCTCTGGCTTATTTTTACTCCTAGAATTTATCAAGCTCTATATCATTTTAATATTAGCGTTTAAGTTATTCTAGCTTTCCAAACTGTTCTGTGAGATTCAGAAAAATGTCTATGTTCGGATGCATATGCTATATGAAATGAGAAGTTACTGTATTATAAATATATACAACACGTCTCAAACATGATCTCAGAGTTGTCATTTCAATGGTAATTAAAAACATACTAATGAAGGAAAAAAAAAAGTCCCTTTGAACTGGTTCCTGCGTCCTACTGCCACAATCCTATTAGTATTTGAGCTCTTCCTTGTTTTCTGCCACAGTAATGTCTCAGGCTCACTGTGGACCTGGAATTAGTCATTTCTTCAGAGATCCCCAGTTCCTTTTAGTGATAGGTGCTTTATAAAAAGTTTCATAAGCTAGGTACTAGTGGCTCACGCCTATAATCCTAGCTACCCAGGAGGCAGAGATCAGGAGGATCACGGTTCAAGGTCAGCCTGGGCAAACAGTTTGAGGGACCCTATCTTGAAAATAACCAACACAAAAAAAGGTTGGCAAAAAAAGTTTCATAAGAAGGATTATTTCATATACAAGTACTCAGAAGACTAGATTGTCATTTGAGAATGTCACAAGAATCAGTTTCTTTATTTTTTGGAGACAGGGTCTTTTTTATTTGTGTTTGGTGGGACTAGGGTTTAAACTCAGGGCTTCACACTTGCAAAGCAGGTTCTCTACCTCTTGAGCCAAACTTATAATCTATTTTGCTCTGACTATTTTGAAGCTGAACTGTTTGCCCAGGCTGGCCTCATACTGTGATCCTCTGGATCTCAGCCTCTTAAGTAGCTAGGATTACAGGTGAGAGCCCGTGGTGACTGGTGAGACAGGGTCTTGCTATGTAGCACAGGCTGGCCTGGAACTGTCAATCTTCCTGCCTCAGCCTCCTGAGTGCTGGGATTACAGTCAGGAGCACACCCAGCAGGAATCAGTTTTTTTTTTTTTTTAAACGAAGAAAGAAAAAAAAAAGCTACAAAATATCAAATACTTAACATTTGTTAACTATTAATCCCTTTCTGTACAGAATTTAATGTTTTCCTCATAGGGAGATAAAAATTAACAAGGAATGAACACATCAACAGTTTAATGAAAGTTCTAAACAATAAAATCAGATTGTATCTGAGTTGAATAGTTATGGCTTGAAGAATCTTAGTAAATAGTTGATTTTTTGAGACTGTACAATTCTGACATGATAATTTTCCTTGATGTATTTATGCTATTTAATATGTACAAAGAATTTATCTGTTTAAGAGCAAACCAAAGCCAAAATAGACACATTTTAGCATTTGTGCTACACATACATTTATATAATACTGGTGGGCAGAAATTAAACTGATCAGCAAACATTTTTAAATGGGCTCTTTTTTTGAGTGACCAAAAAAATCGCAAGTAATAAAATCAAAATCTGAGAATCAGGCTGACTTTGGCAGCACATATACTGAAATTTGAATGGTACAGAGAAGAATAGATGGTCCCTGTGCAAGGATGTGCAAATTCATGGCATTCCGTAATTGAAAACAATCTGAGAATCACTAACTAAACTGGACACTAAGGAAAAACTAAGTGTGACAATGTAGTTTTTAGTGAGTTTTAGCTGGGAGGTAAAGATTAAGGGGATTAAGGTTTGGAGCCAGCTCAGGAAAAAGTTAGTGAGACTCCCATCTCAACCAACAAGTTGGCATGGTGGTGCATACTTGTCCCAGTTACATAAGTAGAAGGATCTCGGTCCCTAGATTGGCACCAGGCAAAACTACAAGATCCTATATGAAAAATAATCAAAGTAAAAAAAAGGACTAGGACCTGGGGGCATGGCTCAAGTTGTATAGCACCTGCTTAGCAAGCACAAGACCCTGAACTCAAACCTCAGTACCACCAAAAAGAAAGAAAGAGAGAGAAAGAAAAAAGAGGGCTACAAGTAGGTTTGGCTGATGTTGATGCTGATGAAGGGGCTAGGTCGTACCACACCCTCACCCTCTCTGTCATCCTACTTGAGAAAGAGGGTGGGTCTCCAGTAGTAGGAGAGCTACTTACTGCCTCCTTACCATTTCTGCAGTTCTTCTCATAGACTATGTTGCCATCTGCATCCTCCTTCTGGCATCTGGGGAACACCAGGTTCACCACAAATGTGACATTTGAGCCCACCAGTGCTGGGGAATCACTGGTCAAAACTGCCTGCACACAGCCTCCTAGGACAACAAAGAGTGGGGGTCACTGGCCCAGCATCTCTTTCCTTTTACGCACAAATAAACATTTGAGGTAACATCTGTTAATAAGGACCAAAGAATGCCTATGCCTCTTTCTGGTTCATTAAATTTATTTTCTGGATGCTAACATTAACTTTCAGAGTATGACATTCTAGAAGATGAACAAAAAAGATAAATGATACTAGTTAAAGGATCCTCTAACTATAGAAAGAACATTTGCTTAAGATAATAAAAGTCTGTTCAATTGGACTGAGGAGACAAATGTTAAAGACGTATTTTGAAATCTCAAAGCCCATTGGCTAAAGGACTTAGGCTCTTATCTGAATGCACAGATAATTTCTGATAAAGCACACCTTTGAGATGATCAAAAACTTCCTCAGAGTCGCAGGTCTTTGGAAGACAGCCATTCCCGTGTTAGTTAAGTAGCTGGTTCTCTAAAATATTCCAAGGGCTATACACTTGAAAATTTCTAAGATTAGTCATTATTTTTTGGCTGAGACAGTGAAAATATTGGGGTAAGGGATAGATTACCAAATCCAGGTTCCCCTAGCCTGCCAACAAGGGTGCTGTCACTCACCAAGTCAACATGAGCATGTCATGGTCTAAAAGGCTGTACAAGTCACAAGACTTCCTGAAGCAGGAAGCCACAGTTGCTCAGGTGGATCTTTTCACTCACCTTTCCAGGAGTTTTTCCACCTGGCATCTCCCCTCGTCCACACGGGATACAGTCTTTCGTTCCAGTCATTCTCATCAGAAGACCAGCCATTCAATTGGCTGTGCTCCCTCCTATAAGCAGGATGCCTTTCACTGCCCAGCACATCGTGAAAGCCTATGTCAGCATTTGAAAAAAAAAATTATTTCCTCTATTCCATTTCTCATTTAGTATTTATGTAACAATGATTAAGGAAACTTTTCATTTCAGACTGTTGGAATGCACATACACAATGCATCAAGTAAATAAAAAGTGTTTAAAAATAAGTCTTGAAAACAGCATTTGGACCCTATCCTTGTATGTACTTTGAAAGAATACAATTTTCTTTTTTTAAGTTTTGGCAGGTATTTATTTTAGTGTAACATAATAAAGTAGGGGGAAGTAGGGGAGGGAGAAGGAAAAACAGCTCCTGCTCCCCATGCAGGAAATGGGAGAGAAGACTCCAAGAATACAATTTTTTTTTGAAAGGCAGTATATCTTCTTGGCTTCCCAATGCATGGCTTCTGAATGTTTGGATTCCATTCAAGATCATCAGGCAAACTCTGATGCCAATGTTCTCAGATCCGTTTTCGATCTTTTCTCAGCCTGAACTAATCTTTTGTTTAAGAAATGCCAGGCTCAGGAATGCTTCCAGGATTACAAGAGACACATAGCAGGACATATAGGGACAGGTCCCACTGTGAAATGACTTTTTTTTTATAGCCCAGAATAGGTCTGTCTTGGTGTATGTTCCATATGAACTTATGTAGTCTATATTTGTTGGGTACAGTATTTTTTTAAAAAGTCATTTGGACTGGGGTTGCAATTTATGTCAACTTAGTTGGTATTGTTTTTCAAATTTTTTATGTTCCTATTTTGCTTTTCTGACTACTTGTTATTTATTTATTTTTTCTTTTTCTCTTTTCTTCCTACTTGCTATTTCAATTACTGAGAATGAAACATTGAGATCTTTACCTATAATTATGTATTTGCCAATTTTCTTATTTCTTCTTTCAGTTCTGTCAGTTTTTGCTTTATGTATTTTGGAGCTCTATTGTTAGGTGTATATGCATCTAGGATTGTTAAGTCTTCTTGATGAATTAACCCTTTTCTCACTAGGAATCAACCCTCTTTAATACAAGTAATATTCCTTATTCTGAAGAATACTTTGATATTAATTCAAAGTGTTTAACTGATCTGTCTTTTTTATGTTTAACCTGTATGCATTTTTATATTAGTAGTGGGTTCTTATAGACAGCACATGGTTGTGGTGTAAATCTGATCACCCCTACATTTCATTTGAAGTGTTTAGATTGTTTACAAATAGTGTAGCTACAGAAATTGTGAGATTTATTGTTATTTGATTTCTATTTGTCCTGTCTATCCTTTTTTCTTCTTTTACTATATTTTTTGGTATTATATTTGGATTCCATTTGATCTCAACTGATTTATTAGCTATACCACTTTGTTTTGTTTTGAGTGGTTGCTCTAGATCTTATAATATTATAATTAATTTAAAATTCTTTAAAATCTTGAATTGGTGGTTGCTTTTTGTCTTGCCTAACCACTCTGATGGTCATGTGGTTTCTACTTTCTTTGAAGACTATAGCAGATTGGTTGACTGCTTATTCAGCAGCCACTTCATACCCACACTCCTCCTTTTCTCCCTAGCTAGCGGAGCCTCTTACTATAACTGAAGAACATCTCAGACGCTCACTTTTCCAGTCGTTTTTGCAGTTTGAGCAGGAGATGATTAAATCCTGCCCTCCAGGAAGACTCCTGGAGCTTCTGGGAAAGGTTCTCCTCCTTCGTAAAAAGAGATATGTAAGAACAAAGTCCATCTCTTTTCTTTTCAGAACTAATTTTGGAGATGGCAGTTTAGTGATATGATGCTTGGAGCCTTGACAGCCACATTTAACTATAAGGACAGAAATCTGAGGAAAGAGTCAACACATCAAGAGTGTCAGAGCGCAAAGCTGACAAGAAACAAAGAGTCCTGGGTGGCACTGTTGAGCAGTTGCTCCAGCCTGCTCACCTCTGTAATGACTGCATGAGATAATAAGCATCTTACTCAACCTCTTCTGTTACTCACAGTCCAAGACTTAACTGTATACACCCTCAGCCAGCTCCCAACCATACACTGTCTTAAATTTATATGGTCCTGTGTCTTAGCCTGGCCACAAACTCTTAAGAGTTCAGAAACTCTGTCTTCTTCTCTTAGAGCCTGGTAAAGGCCTACCATGAGGTGTTGTATTTAGTGGGTACTCAGAGAAACCACATTGAATGCATGCCACTAACCTCTTTCTTCTACTTCTCTTCTCTGGTGGGAGGAGGGGATAGCATGTTGTTCCTTCCTTTTCAGTGAGGCAGATGGAAAAGGAAAGAACACTGAACTAGAAGTCATGGGCCTGGGCTCTAGCCTTGGTCTGCTACTACACGGGCTATCTGACCTCAGGCCACGTGTTTCCTCTGGGCCTTCACATTAGACAAAAGTCAAATGTCCTGTGATTCTGTGAAAGCATCCCTATTTGGAAATAGAACTAAGTGAGGACAGTAAATTCATGTTTATCGGTATACGTTTCTAAGTGGAAGTTCACTGTGAATGGAGTCATATGGAAAGAACTAAGATTCTTTCATTTGAACCTGTTCACTTTAGGAGGGAAGAAACACAGGTCTAGAGAGTGGTATGAGTCACATGCAGTCATCTTTATTCCGGTGGAAATGAAGATTTACATCTTTTCATTTCCAGAGCTAGTTCTTTCTGTTGTTCCAGAGTCCTAGGTCATGAGAGAAAGTCAGTGTTTCCAGAAATGTAATCAAAGTCCAGATTTCTCTCTTCTGATTTTAAATTTCAGAAGTCAAGGAAAACTACAATCTTAAAAGAACAGTGACAAGAGATAGAAAGAAATAGACCTGTACAAGTCTGCCTGACAAGACAGACTTTTAAACAAACGTTATTATTGAAAATAATAAATATAGATGACATCTTTAGAATTTAGGGGTAGAATCTAAGAATCTGTAGACTTGACACCAAAAGCATAATCCATAAGAGGAAAAACTGACATATTGGACCTTAATAAAATAAAAATCTTTGCTCTGTGAAACTGTATGAGGAAAGGATGGAAGAGAGCTACAGAGGAGGGGAAATTATTTGTTCACTACATTTCTAATAGAGGACTGGTATCCAAAATTTCTGAAGAATTTTCGGGCAGCAAGGTTTTGTTTGTTTTTGGTGTTGGGGTTTGAACTCAGAGCCTTGTACTTACTAGGCAGGTGCTCTACCACTTGAGCCATGCCACCAGCCCAAGGATTTTCAAAACTCATCATTAAAAAACAGGTAAAAGACATGAACAGATATATCAACAAAGAGAATTATAGGTGGCAAATAAACCTGTGAGTAGACATTCAACCTCATTATCCAGTAGGGAAATACCCACTAAAGTCACAATGAAGTCTCCTTATAGACCATCATTATGACCAAAATACAATGCAGTGATAGCACCTGATGCAGGTGAAGATGCAGAGAAACTGGATCTCTCATACACTGCTGTGGGAATATAAAACAGTATCTGAATTTTTGTAAATGTCGAAATGTACCCCTGGTACAAAAATAATATGATAAATAAAAATTATACTATGGTAGATTATTGTAAAACTTAACATGCAATGACCATACAACCAATTGTATTCTCTAGTTGTACTAGTAATGCTATGTGGAATGCATCCCAGGAAAATGGAATTTATGTTCACACAAAAATCTGTACAGAAGCTGGGCACCCGTAGTTCATGCCTACAACCCTAGCTACTTGGGAGGCTGAGATCAGAAGGACTGAGGTTGGAGGACAGCCTGGGCAAAAAGTCTACAAGCCACCATCTTTAAAATAACCAGAGGTATGGCTCAAGTGGTAGAAGTCCTGAGTTCAAACCCCAGTCCCCCACACAAAAAATGTGCATATGAATATTCATGGAAACTTGACCCATCATAGCCCTAACTGGAACTACTCAGATGTTCTTCAATGGGTGAAACATACAGTGGTACATCCTGACAATGGAATACTACTCAGCAATAAAACGGAACAAACTGTTGATTGAACAATTTCAATAAATCTCTGGAAATTATGTTGAGGCTTTTTTTTTAAAGCCACTACCTAAAGGTTATATACTGTATGATTCCATTTGTGTAGCATTCTAGAAATAACAAAATTATAAAGATGGAGAACAGATTTATGATCACCGGGAGCTGGGGAGGGGGAAGGAAGGTAGATAAAGGAGTCACATCCTTTAGGCAGAAGATCCTTGTGATGAAACCGCTCTGTATTTTGACTGTTTCCACATCAATATGTTGGTTGTGCGCTATGCTACCACTGCAGCAAGCTGGGACGTCTTTTGTATTATTTCTTATAATTTCATTATAAAAAACTCAGTTCTACCAAAGCTGAATTAAAAAATAAAATATGCACAAGAGCAAGCAGACTTTAAAAGGAAAAAAGAAGTGTGTATGTGTGTGGGTGGGGGTGAGTTAGAGGACAGACGTGAAGGTAGATAAAGGAGTCACATCCATCACAGCTGAGGCTTCCCCTCTACACCTGGGACTCCCTGCTCTGCCCAGCAGCAGAGACCAGGTGGCTGGGCTGCTTCTGTTCACTTGCCTGCACTTTCTCCTGTCTTCTTGTCACCAGGGCTAGCCCTGCAGAGTGGCGGGCATCTCTAGGTGTTTGATACACTGCGAAGTCCTACCTGCCCTAGATCAACTCAGTGACAGCGGATTAGGGCTGGGCTGATCAGCGTCACTGAGTAGAGCCAGGGGTCGTGGTGACAGAACCGGGCCCAGGCGCAGAGACACAGGACCCTGCCAGCCCTTCATCTCTCGGGACTACGGACTCACAGTCTGTCCGCTGTCTCCTAAGAACAATTTCCATGCGTTACTCTCCCCACCCAGTCCCTTTTGCGATCTGATCTCCCAAGAACTCCATCACTCCATTTTGCAAATGAGGAAAAGAAAATTGAAGGAAGCCAAGCCGCTCGCGGCCCAGCCGGGCCCCGGCCCCCAGGCTGGCAAGGAACTTAAGTGTGTTCTCCAAACCGTGGCAGGAAGGACAGTGGGGCAGATGGCAGGCTTCCTCTTCTGCCTCCAGCTGTGTGACTTGGGGCGACTTCCTTGCCTTCTCTGTGTCGGGTTTCCTAGTCATGGGCGCTTTGCCCATGAGTTTAACACCGACTCAGGAGGTCAGCTGCACCTGGGCCCCGCCGGCCAGGCGCTGTCCCCGGTCAAAAATGTGCGGCCCTCCCCCCACCCCCACCCCCCGCAGTCACAGAGGCAAGGGGCGGTGGGTCTCCCTCTCTCTCCTCTTTCCGGCGCCCAGGGTCCGGCGCCTCCCCTTCTTCCCGCCCCAGATCCGGGTGAGGACGGCAGGTTCCTCACCTATTCGGGGAGAGGATCACTGCCGCACAAAGGTGGCAGTGGAAACCAAAGCAGTCAGCATAGAGAGCGACCACATATTCGGGGACCAGGCCCGTGCTGGTCCCGGACCACGGTGGGGCTGTCTGGCGGAATCAACACCTCTAGAATGTCACTAGTCTGTTGAAGTGGGGTACAGTGGACCTTCTGGCTGATGCATGGTTTGTTTCCATGCCCCTGCACAAGGGGGACAGACTGGAGGAGAGTGACAGCAGAGCCCTGGCTGGGACAAGGGAGCCTGCTTGGGCTCAATCCTTCCAGCCAGGGCTGGAAGGGCAGAGGAGCTGTTACTAAGGATGCCCTGACTCCCAGGCCCAAGGATGCTCCTGTCATTTTTAACCAAGGGTGTCTCTAAGGCGGAGCCAGTGTGGAGAAGAGCCAGGAGCTCCCTTCTCAGTGACCTTGTGGTAGTGCAGCAGGCTGCAAAAGGTCTGTGGGGACAGGTCTGCAGGGTGAGCAATTGCTTCTGGGGTGGAGGCTGAAGGAGCCTCCAGGTATCCAGATTTGGAAGCTGGTTTCATCTGAGCTCTCAGTCGGACAGAACCCAGACAAGCTTAGCTGAGAGAGTTGCTTTACTCTTGGGACAGGGACTGTCCTCTCTCCTCTACTACTCTCTGTCAAGAGGGCAAGTGCAGTGGAAAAAGAGCTCCTGGTGCTGCACGGTGTTTACTTTCCAGGAGCCCCAAGCAGAGCATGGAATTGAAGGCATTTTGCAATAATTTGAGCATGCTCACTGTTTGCAGAACTGGGCAAGGCCCTACATGTTTCTCTGCTTAGCTCAGAGGACACCATTACCCACCACTTTGGCCAACAGCCAGAGAGCTGGCTAAACGTAGAAGCAGAGAAACAGAGAAACTCACGTTTGGCTGAGTCAAGTGGCAGTCTTGCAGCCAGCAGCAGACATCCCAGGACCCAATAGAGACATTCCATGTTGAGTTGTCGCAGGCCGGGCAATCAGGGCTTCACTTTTAACTCCTCTGGCCCCATACACCAAGAGCAAGTGCTCTTCTGGGCTCTTCTGCGCCACGCTCTTGATTTTAATGAAATACAGGACCTCAGGGCGGATCATGTGATGGTATTAAGCAGCATTGCCTGATCTGTTCTCTTGAATTCAACCTCTAAACTGCTCATGTGCTGATGACTCACTCACCCTTGGCATCTGTGTATTAACTTGTCATATGCACACTGTTTTGATTTTGTGATTCCACATTTACTAGTTTTGAGGGAACTTCTTATCCTATGATCCTATTTTAATACTTTTCACCAAATAAAGTTTTCGTTCTCTAACTTCATTGAGGATGAATGCACTGTGGTTCCTCCACTGCCCACTCCCCAGCTCCTGCAGCTGGTGCATGTTCTAGAATTTAGATGACCAGCTCCTCCGTGCTAGCGAACACTGTGCATTCCCTTCCTACGACAGGAGGCAGATGTGGCTGTGTCTCTCCAGCCATTTGAAATACTGCTATGATCTCTGGATAAAAACACACATGTGGTACCTGAACACATGAGCAGTCAACAGCTGCCCAGGCTTCCAGGAGCTGAGAAATTTACTCAAAAGCACATTTAGGGTATCTGTGCAATTGCATAAAATCCTCAGAGCAACTCCCAGCATAATTTTTGGTAACTGCTGTCAGAACAGTTGTGTGTTATATCATTCAGGCTCACTTGTGTAAAATACACTACATATTTCTTTCATTTTAAAGTAAGCTGGTGTTAAATGCAAAAACAAGCTTGTCTGGAATATAGATTTTATATAGCCAAATCATTTCTGGTTTTTATGTATGGAAAATGGGGCAACATGAACACTGCATGTGGTCTTTCTTTCCGGCACATCCACAGGACTGTTTTCAGGCATTAGAAGAAGGAACATATTGTTTATGTTTCAGTTATATTTATAGGGAACAGAAATAAATAGTCTGTGAACTGAACTCCTAGAGCAGAATTGGCCACCTTCCTACTCTCAGGCCACAGCTCTTTAGAGCTCTTTTTACAGCAGATAGGAAGGGAAAAATGAAGTTGGGAACACATTCATGGTGGAAGCAAGTTTTCAAATACAGATTATGAATGAAAATGGAATCATTTATTGGTTTTATCTAATGTAAATAATCTACATAGTTATATTTGCATTTTATAGCTTGTGTAATTTTTACAACTAAATAATCTTTTCAATGTAGAGAAAACTTACTACTATTATTTGAAGGATTCTTGTCCTTTGATGCTGACAGTTTTGGCTTGTATTTTGGCAAGATAAGTAGTCATCCTAGTCTCTAAATGAACTCTTCTGTAGCAAAACCCTGGTTTGGTTTAGGGAGACACACTGTTCAAATGCCCCCATCAAGGAGAGGTGGCAGCGACTCAGGCAGCAGTCAAAGGTCAACCGCTGGACAGTGAACCAGAAACGGGAAGTCCTAGTCCATAGCTCAGAGGAAGGGTGCTTGCCCAGGCAATGCAAGGCCCTAGGTTCCATCCCCAGTGGGGGGGGGGTAGAGAAGGTTGGTGGATGGGGGGTGGCAGAGAGGAGGGGGTCACCATAATTCCTGTTGCTTTTCTGAGGGATGGGAAGAACATCTTTTCTTCCCTCCCTCCTCTTTTCCTTTCCCTTTTCCCTTTTTCCTTGCCTTTCCTTTTCCCTTCCCCTTCCCTTTCCTTTCTTTACTTCCTTCTAACTGAAAATTATTGATTCCAATGAACTACAAATTGGATAATCTGCCCCTTGGTAATCAGCAGTTGACAACATGTAATAGCCAAAGACAAAGCTATTTAGGACAAAGAATATCTATACCTCAAGCTTGTCTTATTTTTTGAAGAAGAAAAATCACACTTTGAGAAAAGTTTGAAATAGTTCAATGAAAAAAGAGAAACAGCAGCTCAATTATTTGATGTTAGAGACTTAATTCCTTTGTTTAGAAAGGACACTGAGGAAGGCAAGTCGTAGTCAACTTTTGAGAAATGTCCCTAAGTGCCTCTGAGCATCTTGACTGCTGCCCCCCTTCCTGGTGGCTGCAACGCTGGCTTGAGGAGTGGTAGTACCTGGGATGTGACATCTGCAGCAGTCACCCAAAGGGACATGTGGAGTGACAGACAGCAACCACACTCAGGAGTCACAGCAGCCTGCAGTCAAATTAACATTTTTAATTTTAGAAACTTTTCGATTCAAACTGGCACTTTTAAGTGGAATCATAAACGTTAGTTAAGCCACACTCCCATCTCTGTAAACAGCTACTGTGTTCGGTACCTATTGCTGTTATAACAAATTGCCAGAAACTCAGAGGCTTTAAACAACACAAGTTTATTATCTCACTGTCCTGAAAGTCAGAAGTCTAGAACAGGTCTCACTGGGCAAAACCCAAAGTGTCAGCAGGGTAGCTCTGTCTTCTTGCCTCTTCCAGCCTGGGAGGCTGGCGCCTCCTTCACTTCCAAAGCCAGCAAGTCTTTGCATGAGTCTTTCTCACCTCGTCCCCCTGACATGCATTTTCCTGCCCCCTTCATGGACTTACAGGACTTCTGTGACTACACTGGTCTCAGCTAGACAATCCAGAACCATCTCCCATCTTCAGATCAGTTGATTCCTAACATGTTCCATCTGAGACCTTCATTTTCCTTGTAGTACAACATTCTCAGAGGTCCAGGGGGTTAGGATTGGATGGTTTTTTTTTGGGGGGGGACATTATTCTTTCTAGCACAATTATTCAGCAGGTGACTTGGCAAAAAATTTGTAAAGAAAGGTAGGTGATGGGAAAATACCTCCCAAAGATTTCAGACCTGTAGAGACAAAACCCTTGACATTTGGCAGAGTGAGAAGGTAAGCATAAACTCAACATAAAGGGATCAGTTCAAAGAGAGAGACACCCACGTGACTGCCTTGCCCTAGCGTGGGCTTTTTAACGTGTTCTAATCGGAGTCACGTTTTTCAGATTTAAGCATTAGCAAATGACTCAGAGAGTTCCATTTTGTGTCTAGTTCTTTACTCTGTACCGCCTGGGCACTCTTTGTCCAAATGAGTAATTAATGTCCCTGGTTTCTAGAGTTTGCTAAACTTTGAAATGACTTTTCCTGAGATGTTTCCCCTTACTTTTTAGGAAAAGTGGTGAATGGATCACAAAATTTAATGCATCCCTTTCAGTCACCTCTGCTGTGGTTTTTGCCTGAAGGAATTGGACACCAGATGCTGGCAAAAGGGCTTTCTTCTTGGATCTCTGATGGCATTTTTTGGGAAAGTATATAGATGTGTGGATTACTGTGCTAATATTTATGTTCTACTTTTGATTTTAGAGTCTTTCCCTGGATTACTAGTGTAGATGGAGAGTAAGATAAGGACACTTAGTGTGCAGTTGTGGATTTTTCCTCCCTTGGGGCTGGGGATGGAACCCCAGGCCTTGTGTGTGCTGGGCAAGCACCACTGAGCTGTGCCCTCAGGTCTGTTGTGCAGCTGCGGGAGCAGAGGCGAATATGCTCCTCTCTTTTCTACCTTTAGCACCTGTGGGACACAGGAGGCAGAAGCAGAATGGGATCTATGGCATGAGAACGAAGGGAGAGGGCAAAATATGAATGGGGACATAAACTTGGCTTTCAGCTTCAAGATAACTATAGATTTTCCAGAAATGTCTCTGAGCAGTAGAGTAGGGCACTGTACTCATTCTTTGGAGGTCAGTGATAAGCCCAAGTGCGAAGCAGCTAGACCAGAAATAAAAAAGGAGGCTTGCTGTGGAAGGACGGTCAGGAAACTGGAGATTCTGACATCAAAATGCAGCCTTTTTTTTTTTTTTTTTTCTTTGTTTTTGTGGAACTGAGGTTTGAACTCAGGGTCTGGCATTTGCTCAGCAGGCATCCTCAACCCTTTTTGTTTTTGTTATTTTTCAAATAGGGTCTTGCTTTTTTCCCTGGCCAGCCTGGACTTCCACCCTCCTAATTATGCTTTCCACATAGCTGGATGACAGGTGTGTTCCACCGTTCCCAGCTCTTATTAAGATGGGTCTTAACTAATTTTTTGCCTGGGCTGGCCTTGAACCAGGATCCTCTGAATCTGAGCCTCCCGAGTAGCTAGGATTACAAGTGTGAGCCATCATGCCCAGCTTCAATGGATTTTTTTTAGACACCAAATGGAATTTAATTTAGCAAGCACCAGCGAAGGCTTGCCTTTGTATGATAGTTATCATCCACCAAGGCACGAACAAAAATGATAGGGCATGGAATCTCATTACCCCAACACAGGTAATGTATGAGACATTATTTGAAATCTTTACTGTGGAAACTCCCCAAATATACACAAAAATGAGTAACGTGGAAAACCTCCATATCCCCATCACCTGCAGATAGTGTGTGGAGAGGAAGTACATAACCAATCATACTATACCCACCCCTTTGGGAATCACTCAGTTTGAACACGTGTTTTTAAGGGAGATCATAAAAATCAGTTAAGGTCTCCCCTCCCCCATCTCTTGTAACAGCTACTGCATTAGCTCCCTGTTGCTATTGTGACCATAGCAAGAACTGGGTTACTTTTAAACCAATCCTAAGCATCATTAGTATATGGGATTTAAAGTAAGTCACATGGGTAGAATAATAGGAGTTTAGAGAAGATGGAGGAAACCCCAAAGTGTTTTTAACTCTTGAATGATGAGTGTCGTTAGCTAAGTGCAAAAGAGACTCGGAAGGAGAGCATTCCAGGTAGAAGGGCGCAATATGAATAGAAGAAAAAATATTTTACAAAAGGAATGACGTGTTGTAATATGAATGAACTTCAAAAGCATTATGCTAAGTGAAAGAAATCAGGCACAAAATGTCACATCTATGAATGTCCCAAACTGACAATCCACAGGAACAGAAAGCCCATCTGTGAGTGCCAGGGGCTGTGGGGAGGATGGAGAGGGCAGTGAGTGCTTAACTGGGAAGGAGAGAGTAAGGAAAATGCTTGAGAATGAGATAGAGGGGGTGGTCACACAACACTGTGAATGAACAAGATGCAACTGAATTGTTCATTTTAAAATGGTTAA